GTTCCGGGAACCAGGTCCGGGTAGGCCAATAGGGTGCCACCAACAGGACCTGCTCCTCGTCCTCCCTGTCCTTGCACAGCAACTGTGCAAGAAGGCTCACTGGGGGAAACGCATACTTGCGAAGGCCCCGCAGCCAGCTGTGTGCCAGTGCATCCGTGCCGAGTGTTCCCTCGGCCGGGGAGAAGAACAACTGGCAGTGAGAGATTTCTGGAGAGGCAAACGGGTCTACCTGAGCAGCTCCGAAACGTCCCCAAACCATTGGCGGCAGGCCGGTTTAACTTGGACCCGGAAGGTGCTGCGTTGCCACGCCCACCTCGGGACTCGGCCATGGAGCAAGTGCTGCAGCGGTCTCATATGCCCCAGGAGCCTCTGAAACTGTTTCAGTGGGACCGACATCCTGCTCTTGAACGTATTCAAGCAGTTCAACACCGACTGAGCACGTTCCTGCGTGAGGCGTGCTGTCTGTTCGACCGAGTCCAACTCCATACTGAGAAAAGAGATTCTCTGCGTTGGGAGAGTTTGCTCGTTTCCCAGTCGACCCGAAGGCCCAACAGGCTGATGTGTGAAAGTACCAAATCCCTGTGTTCGCACAACTGATCCTGAGACTGAGCTAGTATGAGCCAGTCATCGAGGTAGTTGAGAATGTGAATGCCCTGTTCTCTTATGGGAACAAGGGCTGCCTCCGTAACTTTTGTGAAGACACGGGGCGACAGGGACAGCCCAAAGGGTAGGACCTTGTACTGGTATGCCCGCCCCTCAAACGCAAACCGCAGGAATGGCCTGTGTAGCGCGGAAGGATCGAAACATGGAAGTACACGTCCTTCAGGTCGATCGCTGCGAACCAATCTTGGGGACGGATACACCTGAAGATGCATTTCTGCGTGAGCATCTTGAACGGGAGCCTGTGAAGGGCCCGGTTCAAGACGCGCAGATCCAAGATGGGTCTCAACCCACCGCCTTTCTTGGGTACAATGAAGTAAGGGCTGTAAAACCCCGTCCTCATATCGGCTGGAGGAACCGGCTCTATCGCGTCCTTCGCCAGCAGGACTGTGATCTCTGCACGCAAGACAGGGGCATCTGCTGCTTTCACTGAAATAAAGTGGACACCCCTGAACTCTATTGAAACAAATAGAGACATAATTAGCATAGCTGCTGTTCCAACCAAGCAAAATTTATTTGTTTAACCCAAGCTAAAGAAAGATAATGTGCATTTTATCAGATATAACTGCAGTAAAAGATTATGAGATGCATTATTTGAATGCTTGGCCAAAGAGATGTGTCTTTAATCTAGACTTAAACAGAGAGCGTGTGTTTGAACCCCCGAACGTTATATCATCTGGGATGTTGTACTTTAATATAACAGTTTTAGCTCTTCCAGCTAGATCATCAAGACTACTCGTCATACTTGAAATCATATGCATGATAGTTACTCTTTATGCCACAGGAGTGCAGACCTATATCTGGGAGCAGAGGAGATGGAAATGGGAGCCAGAAATAACAAGCCACTCAAACCACTGCTGGAGCTCACAAGTATCAAAGATTTTTTCGTTAGTTTACCCGAAAATGAAAATGAAGTCATCATTTATTCACCCTGGTGTTATTCTAATGCCATATACCCTTCTTTCTTTTTTGGACCACAAAAAATATTTTTTTAAAAATGGGCTTCTCCATATAACGCAGTCGTAATACTCTATTCGCCCACAAAAAGCACATTGTGTTCACGTGTCAACTGTCATTCTGACTCATCTGACAAATGGAGTTCTGGTCCAGAGATATTCAATTCTATGAACAAAGTTTAATACTTCACAGATAATTTTTTGGGGGATTTCTAGGCATTGTATTTCCAGGGTCTGAATTTTCATATATAATGCATTACATTTTGGTTTGTTTTTCACCAAACCCTATCGTTTACTTTTCCAAGTCAAGTCACTTTTATTTATATAGTGCTTTATACAATACAGATTGTGCTAAAGCAGCTTTACTTAAACAGTCAAATATTTTTTAAATAATGAAAACAAAATTCAATTCTGCTGTAAAGCAGCTCTAAAAAGAGAATAAGATTAAACAGTCAATTTTCCAGTTAAAGTAAGTTCATCGTTGATTCAGTGACGTCAATGTCTAGCTCAGTTCAGTTCAGTCGACAGTATTGCCAAATAATTAGTGTCCTCATCTAAGCAAACCAAAAGGCTACAGTGGCAAGGAACCCAAACTCCATCGGCAGAGCCGGATTTACGCTTAGGCATTCTAGGCACGTGCCTATGCTATCTACAACAATAAAAGAACCAAAACCTCAGAAGACATTGAGCAAATAAATATAACAAACAATAGGGTAAAAAATGTTTTTTTGTGTCTCTCACAGACGCACACACATGCACTCACGCACACATGCTGACAGAAACTTGTCGTCAACGGCGCCCTGTGAATTTATCAATAAAATAGTTTCGCAGCTAAAAGACATTTCTCAGACATTTCTCAGTAGGGAGGTTTTTGAAGCAGTTTAACTTAAAGATTCGCTACTAATAGACGCTGCTGCTGAACACTGCTGAGAGACACACAGACGCATGGTATTCACACGTGCTTAATCTCTCTCTCTCTCTCTCTCTCTCTCTCTCTCTCTTTCTCTCTCTCTCTCTCTCTAATAACTGCATTAGCCTGCATATCAATGACTCAAGCCTCTGTTATTAGCTCTAAAATTACGTTTTGGAATTTGGTTTGGGATGAGGTGCTTAAAAAATTGTTCAACACATTTCAGGACAGAAACATGTCAAATATCTTGAAACAAATCATTCGAACAATGTCTTGATGTGTGTTTGTGACTCCTGGCCTTTAAAATTATTAGAGAAATAACTCCCGAAGTGGTACGCTGCGCCTATTAATGGAATGGTCTTTCTGAGTTCTCAAACAAATTAGAGCTACATTCGATTTTTATTGACTGAACGCAGGTGCTTATTGCAATAGAAAACACTGTAACATTTCCACTGATTAAGAAATAATTTTGTTTGCTTGGGTGGTAATATTAGGCCTATTATATTAATAGGGAAGGGGGGCCCAAAAATGTGTTTTGCCTATGTCACGAAAAGAGGTAAATCTGGCCCTGTCCATCGGTGACAGAAACAGTTGCAAAATACGGCATGTGTCACATTTCATTCTTGGGTAAATGATCCCTTTAGGGAAATGTATAACAGACAATCAAATCATTGTGAAAATGTGAAAGGTCCAAAGGTTTTCTGCATCCAGATGAACATCTCATTGGGTATTTGCCATTATTTGTTTTTCTTCTTGTCTAGTTCCTGGTATAGAGACCAGATGTAGCTTAGCACCAGCTGTGGATATACTGGCCTACAGTGAGAGAGAATGGAAGGGAAACACGACCAAAAGCGCTCTCATCAGAAAGGTGACCTAACTAACTTTGTGATATTTTTTTCCTGAAATGTATTTAAAGTATGCTATTGATATTTTGATTGACATGTCTGTGCTTGTTTAAGAAGTCTGACTTACTTCAGTGTGTTTGTTTAAGGGTTACAGTGAGATGTCCCGTAGCTTTAGCGGTCTGAGGAGAGTCAGAGGCGATAACTACTGTGCCCTACGAGCCACACTGTATCAGGTGCTGGCAAACAGCACAAATATGCCCACCTGGCTGCAGGATGAAGGCTTTCTATTGGTGAGGAGACCTCTGTACTCGTAATAACTCCAGTCAGGGTAGACACCATATGTAAGTCGACTTTAAAACCCTGGAGCTGTCAAAAGTGTCAAAGCGCGTCATTCTGTAGATTTTAGCTGACAAATAAACAGCTAGATCCTGGGTGCAGGTAACATGGAGAAAGAGTACTGATTGTTCGTTTGCGTCAGATAACATATGGCTTCTACCCAGACTAAGGTTTATAAGCTAACAGTAGGAATGTTAACATGCAATTTTCATCAGTCAGAATGAATCCAGTCCGATTTCACATTCTTAAAGTTCTGATTATATGAACTGTAAACATAGCAATCCGGTTCACGTATTCGTTTACATGTGCATTACTTGTATTTCATACACAACTTTACTGCATGTGTATTGCCCAGTCGTTGCATGCAGAAACAGAGGAGGTCACCATATAATGTCACTAGAGCAAACGTGAGCATAATTAAAACTTTTGCCTTGACACTGCTAAAAAAAAAGCTTAAATATATGAGAAGAGTTTATTATAAACCACAGAGCTAACATCAGACTATCAGGAGATGCTGTGATGATTAACACTGGTTAAGAAAGGGGGGGGGGGAAAGTAAACCCTTACTGCCTTTTTACTTTAATCCTGTTCTTTTTTTGTATTATGCACTGTTGGAAATTGTGTTGATTTACATTGTCAGTATAAAAAAAAATACTAAAGCGTTTACAACAAGAATTTTAAAGAATTTTTCATTCAATAGAATGTATTGTGGGTATAGTACAGGAAATGGGATAGTGGTCTACTCACTGCACTTCAGATTTATGTTGTTTCAAAATATAAAACATCTGAAGCATTTTTTTTTTTTAACAAAATACAGTCAGATATGTCGGGTTATTTTTCTAAATATTGTTACATAGAAATGGAAAAGTTTCCTGTACTGGTTTAGATTTTGTTTTTGCCATAATATTTAAATGAGGCTCTACACACAATATTGTCAGTTTTTAAATTAGAGCACTTAGACTCTAGAAGTCAGAATAACTATTGGTGCCCTCATGTTATGTTTACATGTAACAATAATGTGCATAAATCACGTTAGCAGACAACTGGTGATATAGATGCCAAGAAGAGTTCAAGACAGCTTAATATTTTGCTCATTGTGGAGTGAAGCAAAAGTACTTGCACTTTTTATTTTGGTCATGTGAAGTTTTGTATTTATGACTGACAGATTAACACTGACTAACTTTATTGCCAAACATACAATGTTATACAGTATTATGTATAATTCAAATTTTTCAAGAACTGGAAGACAAAATCTTTTGAATAAATTATTCTATGACTCTCTTCAGCCTCTCACTTTTATATGCACAAAACACAAGAAATGCGAAAAAGAACAGCTTAGCACAACATTTGTTTAATAGCCATAATGCATTCATATGTGCTTGGTTTATTTGTATGTGCTGACATTCAGTTAGACCACAATCACAGAGTAACATAAGCACCTAAAACAGGACCTAAAAACGGCCAAAAACTACATTCAATTTAGTAATTTGCAAATCAGACATTGAAAGCGAAGCCTACCATAAATTTCTAAGATCTGGAAAAAAATTGGATTCTATAAAGTGGTCCCAGCACAAAATATTGGATCAGATCAAATCTAATCAGAAATGATCTCTTCATGCATTCACAAACGCTCAAATAAATAGTATACAAAACCTGAATTTGTGCAGTGAATACAAAAATAAAGCAACTGACATATACAATCAAATCTAGTCTGTGCCCCAAGTCAGTAAAATAAATTCCTCTTGAACAAATTATAATACACTCAAAGTGTAACTATTCATTGTGCGTCTCAAGGCAAGAGGAAACATTCCCAGGGTAAATAGGTCAGACAACAGTACATTCATTAAAACATCTTTCAAGCCCGTTCTTGATGCATTCTTTCTCCAAGGATTTTTTTCTGATTGTAAGGGTCTATTTTGGCAAACATGTTTACAGGCTGCAGAACATGAACTTTGGAAGACATCTGTGTAAATATGCCTCAGTGCAAAAAGTGCAGGAGTGCATTTTATGTAGACATGCAAATCTGCTCATCCTACCCCAAACAAGTATCGATCAATCTGACTGGGGTAATGGCGAGATTGTAGAAATGAAAAAATAATAATATAATGATAAAGTACTAGTACTAGTTAGACTCTCATCGTCAAAAATCCAAAACATTGTACAGCAAATGAAAGGAAAACATGTATCTTCCACCCTTGTTCTTCTTTCCATGCATAGATTCATTCATCTTCTGTTTCCATCTGCTCATTCTCAGCCTCTTCAGTGACATCTAACTCTGTCCTGGAGGTGACTTCATTCATCGGGGAAGAGTTGTCCTCCACAACCATTTCTGCTTCTGGGGTTTTCTTCTGAAAACAGACCGTAAGACTGATAAATATTGCAGAATAGATCCGAAACGTTTAAAAGTCAAAAGGTATGTTTTAGTAACACTTTAGATTAGGGAGCACTATTCACTATTAACTAGTTGCTTATTAGCATGCATATTACTAGCATATTGGCTGTTTATTAGTACTTAAAAAACATATTAGCCTTATTCTGCATGACCATATTCTAGATTCCTTAACCCTAAACACACAAGTATAACAACAACTACCTTACTTCCTATCAATAAGCAGCAAATTAGGAGTTTACTGAGGGAAAACTCTTAGTTAATAGTGAATATGTGTAATCTAAAGTGTCATTCCGTTTTAATGATTGTTCTAGAATTAAGAGAATAGCAAAATTCACACTCAAATATTGTCACGATCTCCAGCTGGAGTGCCCATGAACTCCACCAGAGGGCAATCCACCCCTGACTCTTTCCACTCTACCCGGGACTACATTTCCCATAATCCTTTGCCGGACTCATCACTGATTGCCTTCACCTGTGTCTCGTTACCTTATTAATCTCACACTATAAAAGATGCACTCATACACACACTCATCGTTGAGTTTTGCTAGCCTGTAGTGTTTCCAAGTTCCTGTGTTTTCTTGTGTTCCTTAGTTCTTGCCTTGCCTTGTTTTTTGACCTTGGACTGTTTACTGTGTTTTTGCTCGTTTGCCGCCTACCCTGACCATTGCCTGTTTATTGGATTACTCTTTTGTCTCGCCTTGTATTTTTCCTGTTTTCTGGTGTTTGACCTTGCCTGTTTTGACAACTCTTCTGAATAAAGCTGCATTTGTATTCTCAACTCCGTTGTCACGCTCCCCACGTTACAAATATAAACATATCGTTGGAATTTTTAACTTGAATGTGTAAGGCATCTGGTGTCATCTGCTTCCAGATATTTTAGCTGTACAAGAGTCCATTATGCTGCTTGATGTTGCCAACTGATTTATTATCATAAACATGCAAACAGCATTGTATTCTTAGTTATTTATGTATAGAGCCTAATGAATCTGAAGTCTTGCACATTCACAGAAAATAGCTTACTTTCACACTGAAAAGTAAGATAGATAGGACACTAGCTGTAATATTTCTGCAGAATCGTTGACTTCTGCAGTCCGATGGCTCCTCACCTGTTTTCGGTATACATAACAGGCAGCCACTGCGACCATGGTGGACTCCCCCACGAATCCTGCTAATAAAGACCCCACTCCCAGTGTGGCACCATGCACTCTGCCCAAATACAAAACCATCAACATGATAAATGTGATTTCAAAATAATACCAACTGATTTTAATGCTGTACAGTTGTAGCGCAGTGTTGCTATGATAAAAAAAAACATTAAAGAACAATTTTCTGAGCTTATATTAAAAGTTTCTGCAGCAGTCTGCATTAGCTGAGGAGCGGAGACATAATTAATTCACAAAATGCAGACAGGGATTTGAAATGATTTATTTTTAGACTCACTAAAAATTCAGAGGCAGCAAGAGAGCTAATTACTTCATAGATCACACAGTGAGCAGAGAAGCACATTCAATGATATTTAAAAGAGATGCATTTAGCATATTTGTATATTCCTCCTGTATACTAACCCCATGTAAGGCAGCACTAGAAGGCTGGTGATGAGCACAGCGATGCGCAGAACTGAACTAGGTGCCAGAACACAAGTTCTCTTCAACGTCATTAACCAGCCAGTCAGATGAGCTCGAACTATAACTGATAGCAACACAGACACAAGGTCACATAGATATAATGCACTGTAAATTATATAAAGTAATATAAAAGAAAATACTTTATGGTACCAGGCACAGGGAAGAAGGAAAAGACTCTCAGTGGAATGATGCAGAGCTGTGCGAAGGCCACATCCACCCCAATGACATCTACCAGGATGCGTTCAGAAACATGAGGGGTCCAGAATACAATGAAACACATCTGGAAAACAGACACAGGCATGTGCACTAATTACTTAATTTCGCAGTTTTGTGTCAAAATGTGAAATCTATTATATATATATATATATTATATATATATATATATATTAGTGCTGGGCAATGATTAATCGCTAAATTCGCTTAATTAGCGAAAAATCGCTAATTAATCCAAAATAAAAGTTTTTGTTTACATTATACATGTGTGTGTACTGTGTATATTTATTATGCATATATAAATACACACATCCATGCATATATTTAAGAAAAATATAATATGTATATATAACATAAATGATATGAATATAAATACATACATGAAAATATTTTCAAAATATATACTGTATGTGTGTGCAGGGACCCGGGAAGTAGGGGTGCTGAGGGGGCTGCAGCACCCCCTGTTTTCATATGGTTGCAAATGCAACGGCAAGTTTGTTCATTTAAATTTATTCCATTTTAGCATTTAATAATTTATTTGTAATGATCTCTGAAATGTAAATTGTAAGTGGGCTATAATAATCTTTATAAACATGATTAATTTTACTTGTGATGTTTTCTATATGGGATGATTAGCCTAATCCTCATGAACACGTGATGCTGGCGTGTGGTATCAGACATGAACTAAACAGAATGCGAACAAGATTAACTTTAATACAAGGAGATAATAATTTCAGATTTTTTTAAATGCCCATCCAAGCAAAAACTTTGGCCCCCCCCTTCACCCAACACGGACACACACAGCACCCCCAACCGAAAACATCTTCATATATATAATATGCTTATTTGGAGCTTAAGTAACAGTAATGTCAATTATGTCATTTCTGATCAGTTTAATGCATCCTTGCTGAAAAAAAGTAAAAATAAATAAATAAATAAAACACTGATTTCAAACTTTTGAATAGCAATGCATATCTAATATTATCAAAGTGAACCTATTGTAGTGCCACTAACGAAATAATAATGTGCACCATCATATGCATTACGTCTAGTATATCTAGTGTACATTTAGTTTCACTACTTCATTATCCTTAATCTTGGATGTGCCAGTCAGTTTTGACTGTGTCTTTGTTATGAGACACTTCACATTCCAGCAAAACTAGATTATGTAATTGTCTCACGCTAAGCCTGCTTGACGCCCTACCTACGGACATTCCTCTTTTCTGGCAGAATAGAGTCTGACAAAGGCCTGGCATGCCTGTTTACAGGGAAAGATCCTCCACATCTGACCAAGTTAAAGGCCATATGCTTGACGATGGATGTGTGGATGGATGTTTCTGCACTGTCAAAAACAATGAAATGTGTACTGTAACAAGGACCAGCACATCAATGCATGCTCAACCCGGGCTATAAAGACAAACTGCAAACATTATGAGTTTGCAGTTTTAATATCAAAGAGCTTTTTTGTAGCTATTGTCCTTTATGGGAATTCAAGATAATCTAGGAATTCCTGTAGACCTGTGCAATTGAAGCAGCAACATTTTTGTATTTCTCTCCCACTTCAAAATAAAATAAAAATAACTTTTATGCAATTACTTTGATTGTTGCATGGTTTGTTAAAAAATATTCTCTGCAAGATTATTTGATCTGTTGTTTTCTCCACTATCATTATGAAACAAGAAGCAGGAAAGCTGCCAAAGATCTTCAGGCTGTTTTGAGACATCTTCACTGGTGGCACAGGTGTTACATCTCCATTCAGAAAAGTGGGTGTGTAAGATCTACCCACATGTTTTTCTTAATTAAAATGTTTTTCATTCCTCTAATCCATAATTACACAACACACACCTACAAATCATGTGACAGAAATCAAAAACAAATGGTAAAAACTGCAACCCGTCCAAACAAGCTTGTTAGTTTCTTTTTTTCGGAGAATTGTTTGTCTGTTTCCAACATGGATCTTAAAAAAATAATAATAATTTAGATTTTACATAATTTTTTGTCCTTGATAAAGTGAAACCTTCACCATATGCCTGACATCTGCTTTCCAACAACCCTGGTGGTCAGGGTGCGAACTACGGGGGAGCTAGGGGGAGCTTGGCTCCCCTTAATAAGACACGGGCTCCCCTGAAAACGTGATTTATGAAATTTGGGGGGGTCTCAAAAAATATTGACAATGTGCTATTTTGACATGCAATTTCAGTTTTGTGCAATGTGATCATCGTGGATTATTACGTGTAAAATTGCAAAAATATCATTCATTCATGCATGATGGCGATTTAAACCTAATTCACGTCAATAAAGATAACTATACATGCTGTTCTTGTCATGAGCATCAAGGTGTGGGGGTGCAAATTCCACTCATGTTTAGTACATGTTAACTCAAAGATTCGTAGAAAAAATATAAACGTTGGACTCTGTGGGCGATTCTGTGTTAAGGTAAGGCATGTTATTTGCAATTATGTGTTGTGGCTGGGTTGTTATAGGTCTGCGTGACTCTCGATGTCTTAGGCCTAACTGAACGGAGGAATTATGGTATTCTTCTGCCCCCTGACGACGAGTAACTTTAACCGTTGTTCATGTGAACTCAAAGACAGCCTGATGCTTTGTTTCTAGACTATTTGTGGGTGGCTGTTTGTTGTTTCACCTATCAATTCGTGTCGATAAAGTATAATAGGGTAAATCCTGTATAGTGATTGATCCTATATAGTGCTTACATAAAGCAAGTAGTGCATACACTTGTAGCTGTTATGTATCTTTGTAAGTCATTGTAAGCCCTCTTTTGAGGCACGCGCAAGCGCACGAACCCTTTTTTTAAGCAGTGACAACTGTGCCATGATACTGCAGGAGTGATATGGTTGTTACATCAGGAGGGATGTAAATGAATAAATGTAAAAGGGTAGTTATAAATACTTAACATGAAACAGCTGACAAGTCCTGCGGTGTGACATGCTACTATACATAAAGCTAAACAGCATGTTCATGATTTATCTTGACCACTACCATCTAAAAGTCTGAGGTAAGGCTTTTTAATGTTTTTGAAAAAATTATCTTATGCGCACCAAGGCTGCATATAGTCAATCAAAAATACAGTGAAAACAGTAATAATAATGATATTACAATTTAAAATAATTTATTTTAAATACAGATTAAAGTGTAACTTATTCCTTATTAATACCATTGTTGAAACTGCTGTACTCCTTAATATATTTTTTGTGGAATCCATAAAAAAAAAAATTTCAGGATACTTTGATTAATAGAATGTTCAAAATAACAGCATTTATTTGAAATAGAAATCTTTTTTAACATTATAAATGTCTTTACTGTCATTTTTAATCAATTCATGTACATAATACATACATATATACATATGTATATATATGTGTGTGTGTGTGTGTGTGTGTGTACATATATATATACACTGTATATTAATGTCTAATTTAATGATTATTAGATCTTACCGTTAAGGAGAGGAGAAAAGAGCAAAGCGTGAACCTCTGGATATGTGATTTGGTGACCGTCAGACCACTGGCTAACTTATTAGTAGGGTTATTCTGTTAAAAAAAAAAAAGAAGTATAGACACTATTATTTATCTTCCAAATGATACAGGTTAAAATAATAAAGCTAAGCCATTATGCTTGTGTGGAAAAAAAACATTTTTGAAAAGATTTCATTAAAAAATAAGACAATATAATACATTCAATGCATACTTAAATCATACTAATTCGGCACCATCCATCAAACCATCGAAAGCAAGAAAGATGTGTTCACACCCACTACACAACTATGTGCATCAACAATGAAAACCATGTTGTTATCTTTCTTGTCTACCAGGAGAACATTGAGTGCTAGTGACAGCAAAAACATAATTTAGACGATACAAAACAAGTTCTGCCCAACCTAAATCTTTCACTCAATCTCACCAACACACAATCAAAAAGTTAAAACCTAATGCCTCTTATACAACAGAAAGCTGATATTGGTCTCTAATCAGAAAGGGGCAAAACCTAAACATGCTGAATCAGGCACATGTTAGTCTGAGAGTTGTAGGTATTTGAATGGTACATAATTATCTGCAGGACGAAACATCTTATTGTGAAAACTAGTCATAGGGTGTTGACTAAAAAACATTCCAAAGCCTCAGGACAAACCAAACAAATAAAAGTTACTAAGGTCTTACATAAATCTCTTACCAAACAACAAAAGACAATAATATACATTAAGAAGTTGGATAGGACCTACATTTTTAAATGAGTTGTTTTTTTGTCTGTAAAAAACATGCTGTGACATTCATGATGGTTGCCAGGGTGCTGCTATGCAGTTGCTAGTCAAAACCTTCACCTACCTTATCGAAAGCTGGATAGATGGCACGCAGTTCTGTTAACCATCCGTAGGGCATATGACCAACCGGATATGTTGCTGTGAGTACTGCTACCGCCTAGCAAACAAACACAATTTGGTTAGAACTGGCTGCTGTGTGTTGTAGTGCATACTATCATTCATCAGTACTCACTTCAGTTGATGCGGCGCTGCCTTTGAGGTCCCGAGAGACAAACAGATTGACAATGGGCCTGCTGATGCGCTGTGTGGCCAAAATGAGGGCAAGCGGCCACCAGAAACTAAGCATCTTCCTTACGGTGACATCGCCCTGGAAGTGACCAAAAGTAGTCTGAATATAGGAAGCAACTTTCTGATCTGTCTGCAAAAATCTTTTTGGTAAACATACCCCCAGTTCGAGGCTACTTGATTCAGGAATGTTGTCATGGACGTTACAGTAGTAGCCCAGTCCCACGATAGTGAACCGCACCAGAGCTCCCATGTACAGAGACAGAATGGGAATAAGAAGAGGATCTAAACATTCCAGGTTACTCTGGAGAAGAATCACCACAAATATTATCTGCAGGCGAACAGAAGAGTCAAGAATCAATTAAATATTGGGCAAGTTTAAGTGCATGTTTTAACACATGACAAACCTGCAAAAATATTTATGTATCCAATAGTTAAAAAAGAGATACGCTGTTGCTGCTACATGCTGTGCAAATCTGCAATGCAAAATGCGTGCTCAAAATAGCCCTTTGGCAGGCAGCACATTTAAAATAAAACAAACTGCCAGATTTGCATATATATGATGTGCCAATATATATGTTAAACTATTCAATATTAGTTTAATTAAATCATGTTAGTTCAATAATATTTTAAATAGTGATAATCTTTATCTTTAAGCTATGCTACATTACATTAAAATGTTTAAATGTCATGTCTTTTTTTGTTGCTTTTTTGTTTTGTTTTTGTGTTGTGCTTGTGCTGTCATATGACAATTTTTTTACAATTACTAATTTTTAAAAACTAATGTCATTTTAATTGTTTTTAACTTATTTATACTACCATTCAAAAGCTTGGTCAGTACTTTATTTTTATTTTATTTTAGAAATTAATACTTTTTTCAGCAAGAATGCATTAAATTGCAAATCAAAAAATAAAAAGTGACAGTAAAGACATTAATAATGTAACAAAAGAATTCTATTTTAAATAAATGCTGTTTTTTTAAAACTTCCTATTCATCGAAGAAAAATGTATCAGGGTTTCCACAAAACAAGTATAATAGGGTAAATCTGATTGATCGATTGATCCTATATAGTGCTTACATAAAGCAAGTAGTGCATACACTTGTAGCTGTTATGTATCTTTGTAAAAGCCCTCTTTGCAGGAGTGATATGGTTGTTACATCAGGAGGGATGTAAATGAATAAATGTAAAAGGGTAGTTATAAATACTTAACATGAAACAGCTGACAAGTCCTGCGGTGTGACATGCTACTATACATAAAGCTAAACAGCATGTTCATGATTTATCTTGACCACTACCATCTAAAAGTCTGAGGTAAGGCTTTTTAATGTTTTTGAAAAAATTATCTTATGCGCACCAAGGCTGCATATAGTCAATCAAAAATACAGTGAAAACAGTAATAATAATGATATTACAATTTAAAATAATTTATTTTAAATACAGATTAAAGTGTAACTTATTCCTTATTAATACCATTGTTGAAACTGCTGTACTCCTTAATATATTTTTTGTGGAATCCATAAAAAAAATTTTCAGGATACTTTGATGAATAGAATGTTCAAAATAACAGCATTTATTTGAAATAGAAATCTTTTTTAACATTATAAATGTCTTTACTGTCATTTTTAATCAATTCATGTACATAATACATACATATATACATATGTATATATATATGTGTGTGTGTGTGTGTGTGTGTACATATATATATACACTGTATATATTAATGTCTAATTTAATGATTATTAGATCTTACCGTTAAGGAGAGGAGAAAAGAGCAAAGCGTGAACCTCTGGATATGTGATTTGGTGACCGTCAGACCACTGGCTAACTTATTAGTAGGGTTATTCTGTTAAAAAAAAAAAAGAAGTATAGACACTATTATTTATCTTCCAAATGATACAGGTTAAAATAATAAAGCTAAGCCATTATGCTTGTGTGGAAAAAAAACATTTTTGAAAAGATTTCATTAAAAAATAAGACAATATAATACATTCAATGCATACTTAAATCATACTAATTCGGCACCATCCATCAAACCATCGAAAGCAAGAAAGATGTGTTCACACCCACTACACAACTATGTGCATCAACAATGAAAACCATGTTGTTATCTTTCTTGTCTACCAGGAGAACATTGAGTGCTAGTGACAGCAAAAACATAATTTAGACGATACAAAACAAGTTCTGCCCAACCTAAATCTTTCACTCAATCTCACCAACACACAATCAAAAAGTTAAAACCTAATGCCTCTTATACAACAGAAAGCTGATATTGGTCTCTAATCAGAAAGGGGCAAAACCTAAACATGCTGAATCAGGCACATGTTAGTCTGAGAGTTGTAGGTATTTGAATGGTACATAATTATCTGCAGGACGAAACATCTTATTGTGAAAACTAGTCATAGGGTGTTGACTAAAAAACATTCCAAAGCCTCAGGACAAACCAAACAAATAAAAGTTACTAAGGTCTTACATAAATCTCTTACCAAACAACAAAAGACAATAATATACATTAAGAAGTTGGATAGGACCTACATTTTTAAATGAGTTGTTTTTTTGTCTGTAAAAAACATGCTGTGACATTCATGATGGTTGCCAGGGTGCTGCTATGCAGTTGCTAGTCAAAACCTTCACCTACCTTATCGAAAGCTGGATAGATGGCACGCAGTTCTGTTAACCATCCGTAGGGCATATGACCAACCGGATATGTTGCTGTGAGTACTGCTACCGCCTAGCAAACAAACACAATTTGGTTAGAACTGGCTGCTGTGTGTTGTAGTGCATACTATCATTCATCAGTACTCACTTCAGTTGATGCGGCGCTGCCTTTGAGGTCCCGAGAGACAAACAGATTGACAATGGGCCTGCTGATGCGCTGTGTGGCCAAAATGAGGGCAAGCGGCCACCAGAAACTAAGCATCTTCCTTACGGTGACATCGCCCTGGAAGTGACCAAAAGTAGTCTGAATATAGGAAGCAACTTTCTGATCTGTCTGCAAAAATCTTTTTGGTAAACATACCCCCAGTTCGAGGCTACTTGATTCAGGAATGTTGTCATGGACGTTACAGTAGTAGCCCAGTCCCACGATAGTGAACCGCACCAGAGCTCCCATGTACAGAGACAGAATGGGAATAAGAAGAGGATCTAAACATTCCAGGTTACTCTGGAGAAGAATCACCACAAATATTATCTGCAGGCGAACAGAAGAGTCAAGAATCAATTAAATATTGGGCAAGTTTAAGTGCATGTTTTAACACATGACAAACCTGCAAAAATATTTATGTATCCAATAGTTAAAAAAGAGATACGCTGTTGCTGCTACATGCTGTGCAAATCTGCAATGCAAAATGCGTGCTCAAAATAGCCCTTTGGCAGGCAGCACATTTAAAATAAAACAAACTGCCAGATTTGCATATATATGATGTGCCAATATATATGTTAAACTATTCAATATTAGTTTAATTAAATCATGTTAGTTCAATAATATTTTAAATAGTGATAATCTTTATCTTTAAGCTATGCTACATTACATTAAAATGTTTAAATGTCATGTCTTTTTTTGTTGCTTTTTTGTTTTGTTTTTGTGTTGTGCTTGTGCTGTCATATGACAATTTTTTTACAATTACTAATTTTTAAAAACTAATGTCATTTTAATTGTTTTTAACTTATTTATACTACCATTCAAAAGCTTGGTCAGTACTTTATTTTTATTTTATTTTAGAAATTAATACTTTTTTCAGCAAGAATGCATTAAATTGCAAATCAAAAAATAAAAAGTGACAGTAAAGACATTAATAATGTAACAAAAGAATTCTATTTTAAATAAATGCTGTTTTTTTAAAACTTCCTATTCATCGAAGAAAAATGTATCAGGGTTTCCACAAAACAATTTAAGCAACACAACTTTTTTCAAAATTAATAATAGTGATGTTTCTTGAGCACCAAATCAGCATATTAGAATGATTTTGGAAGAATCATATGATACTGATGACTGAAGGATGCTAAAAATTTTATTTTTTTACCCATCAAAGGAATAAATTACATTTTAAAATGTATTCAAATAGAAAACAGTTGCAATATTTGACACAATATTACTGTTTTTACTATATCAAATAAATTCTGACTTGAGGCCTGTTGGACAAAGCCAGTTTCGTTTTTTTACCCAGGTAAGTTCGCATTTAGTTTGAGCAAACTCTGAGCTTTCAGGCTCAAAATGTTGGGTTGGTTTTGAGCAGGTTTCGTAACTTACACTGCAGCATACCCTGCTCCGGAGTAGGTTTCATTCTGGGTTAGAGATCGAAAACCCAAACTGGACCAATCAGATGTGAGTTCCCAGTTTACAGTGAGAGAACTTCGCCCTTCTTTTGCTGTTAATTATTTATTCTATTATCTATATTATACAAATTATAATTACTTATTTGTATGAACTGACAATTAATATTAAACTTTGCATTTAAATTAATTTAACTATAAACATATAAATAAGCTTTAATATATATAAAAGCTTTAAAAACGACTAAACTTTGTTTTCTTTTGAGCTCTTTGTGAAACTATATACAGTAGTCATAGAAAATCACCCCCTTTAAAATAATCACATTTTGTTGCTTTGCACATTTTAAAGACGGGCACAGTATTTGTTTTATCCAGCTGTATTTACTCAGTGCAACTTACAACATCCAAGTGAAAGATTAAACACCAATATACCAGAAAAATTTAAAATAAATAAAAAAACAGAATCACTGAGTTGGAAAAAGGATCCTTGTGTCAGTGTTTTGTTGAACTACCTTTTGCTTTAATTCCAGTCTTTAGTCTGTTGGGATTTGTCTCTACTAACTTTGCACATCTAGACTTTGCAATATTTGCAGAACTGCTCAAATTCAGTTCAATTTCATGGTGACCGCTTGTGGACTGCAGTCTTCAAATCATTCCACAGATTTCCAATTGGGTTTAAGTCTGGGCTCATGCAAGAACATTCACCTTTTTCTCCTTCAACCACTGAGTGGTCAGTTTTGCTGTGTGCTTTGGGTCATTGTCATGTTTGAAAGTAAACCTTCTTCTCATTGACGACTTTCTGGTAGAGGACAGCAGATTTTCCTAAACAATTTGATGGTATTTTGCCAGAAACACCCCCATAACAGGATATTACCACCATGCTTTACTGTAGGAATGGTGCATTTGGATGGTGAGCTGTATTGGATTTCAGCCATATAAATTGTTTGGTGTTGAGGCCAAATAATTCAGTTTTAGTCTCAATTGCCTCAGAATCTTTAAGGTGTGTTTTTGGCAAAGCTCAGTCATGACTGCATGTGGCCTTTCTTGAGAAGTGGCCTTTTTCTTGCAACCCTCCCATACAAGCCACATTTGTGGAGAATTTGTGATATTGTTGTCACATGCACACAATGAC